AATGCAATAATTGATTGCAAAAGCATTCTCAGAACTTAAGGGCCACTCAAATACCGATAGATCGATAAAGTAACTGACACTATATTTCGCCACAAAGACATTACTCTAAATATCAGAAAAGAACATATTCTGGTAGCAGTACAACATAGGTGGAAAACAGTGATAAAACCCACTTCATGCACAAAGTTTCATTTTCAATTTAGTCATATCCGCACTATACACAAGGTTTTACAAATAATATGAAGCTGAACAATAGGCAGCAATTTAGTAAATTTGCAAGCAAACAAACAACTAAGCTGAAATTCAAAACAACAAGATCACACACATACCTAATTTGAATAAGCTGGGCTTCGTCGTCTCAATTCCAGAGAGTTCACTCGAACATCCAGGCTTTATATACAAACAACCATACAGAAGTAAAAAAATTACCCATCTATCATTGAAAAAATCAAACAAAAAACACAAACCCACCTCCGATTCCATAAATTTCAGTTTGGGGCTTCTGGTTGACATAAAAATTGAAGAAGTCGATACAAATTAGAACAATTAGAACCCAAAAATAGAAAGAGCTGAAACCTGTTGAACATGTTGGCGTGCATAAACAACAAGAACACAAACAAGTGATGCAATGAAAAGATAGATGTATTCCAAAGCAGCTCTAACTTTAGGCGTCAACATCTGAGAGAACCTCTCTTGAACCCTTATGATGTCTGCTCTGGATCCATTTTTTGTACGTGCATGCACTGGACAAATCGTTGGAGAGATATCTCTGCTCTGCTCAGAGACAGAGATGACGTTAGGATTAATTTTTTTTTTTTTTTTTTTTTCTGAACTCTCTTGGGATTATTTTCTTATTATTGTTTCTGTTTGACCTTTGGGAGTGGTGGGAAGTTCTCCCTCTGTTTTGTTGAAATATCTTAACACCCATTGGTTTTGCAAACTAGCAAAGTTACCCTTTTCATCTTTGTCACTAATTTGATTTATTAATGGAACTCCAATTTTCCCTTATTTTTTAACAAAATATATCGAAAATGTATTTTAAATTTTACACATTTTTTCCCTAAGGATAAAACTTTAAAAATTTTAAAACTAAATTCATACCTGAAATTCATAAAACATATACCTGTCTTTTATTATTTTTAGATATAAACCTTCCAAATCAATATAAATTCATAAAATTCAAAAACCAAATCAAATCTCAAACTCAAAGAATATATTGCATATACAAAGATATATATAAAAAAGTGATGTGGTATAAATGAATAAAATGTTATAAAAATCAAATTCATTAATTGTAGATAGATGATTTATCAGTTAAAGAAAAATGACATCTTTTATATGTTTTTTTTTTTTTTTAAAAGATAATTATGTGTCGTAATACTCTTAAACCATGCTAATATTCATAATTTCGAACTAACATTACCAAATTAATCGAATCTTTATTCCTAAATTATAATCTTCAGCATTATATTTGAATAGAGCCTTTAAAATCAACAACCACTTTGTTAAAGATGATTTCAAGGAATTTTTTTTTTTTTTTTTTGACATGTGAAAAAAAAATATTTATACCCTTCTCTATTGTCCTTAATTGTGTGAGAGGGCTAGAATATGAGAAAAAAATTTGTAAATGGAAATATTTTTGAATAATCAAGTGAGAGTTTATTAACTAATATTCCCAAATTGGAGGTGATGATGTCAGTTTAAAACACTTGTGGGTGTTTCTAAAGTCTGAAACTTAGGGGTGTCACAAAACCCATTCATATTGATGACTACTCCTATGTAGAGGATTCTCTATTGAGACTTTATCCAAATAATTTTATTATAAAATTTACATCTATTGTTATTATGGATTTGACATTCTATTTTATCTTCATCTTCAATCGGTCTTCTATATCAATTTCTTTTCTTTTCATCCTTTTAGTTTTCATGGTTAACCATTGTGATCATTTACTAAAATTTGAATGCATGCTCATGTAAATTGGAGTAGGACATGTCTAAAAAGGGCTTATGTGTTAGGAACTCGATCCTGGGATGATTGGGGAGATATCGCGAAAAGGGTACGTTAGGTAGAATCAGACAATTAAAATATCTTGTAATAAGGATATCGTTTAGAATAAGAATTATAATTACTCTATTATGCAATTAGAAAAGGAATTAAAAATCCTTTTAGGACTCATTTGGAGTCAAGTGTAAGGCTATATAATAGTCTAAATCTAGATCGTGGTTATGAATGAATAATTTTGTGAATTAATCTCTTTATCTCTTGTTCTTGGAGGTCTCTATTCCTCATATAAACATATCATACACCAAGCCCTATCATTATGTCTTAGGGTTTGATTATAATTTTGATACTTTTACTTAAGGGTCTGCTTGAGAGTTTTATGATAGCGGTTATGAGAATAAACCGCCGTATCGGTTTTGAGGGTAAACCATCATAGCAGTTTTGAAGGGTTTTTAGTAGTGGTTGTTAAAACACCCAACCTATGCTTGGAAGTTTATTTTCCAGCGATTCTGACAGTTTAAAATGATAAATTTATATATATGCTCATAAAAATACCCCAACTCTAACCAGTACTTGGGGGTTTTGTTTTTTCAATTATAAGGTAAGAGTTCTTTACTTGTTTTCTATTTATTAGTATTTTATAACTTCAAATGTGATAAAGTCTCATGATCCTTCTTCGCCATTCTTTGTAGAACCTGGAATGATTGAAAAATGGTAGCTCCACTTCTCCAAAAAAGCATCTAGAAATGAGATTTTAATAATTTTTTTTTTTTTATGATTGCTTAAAATTATTTTATATTTAATATGGTTGGAGACGCGCATAATTTTTTTTTTTTTGGATATAATTAGGATATTTTTATAGTGGATAGGGTATTTGTGAAATAAAATTTTAAAACCAACCAAAATACCCCGATTTGGGGTGTTTTATAAACCCCTCAAAAATACATTACACTAGTTCTGGGTGGTTTTTAAGCCAATCAAAACCAGTGTATAAAAAATTTGGCAAGTAATGGTTTTAGAACACATCAAAACCAATCTAATTAAAAACACCTCAAAACCAGTGGAAAAAAAACTCCCAAGCAGACCCTAATGATTAACGTGTCTTTAATAGAGTGTGTTATGCCTAAAATAAGGGTTGACATATGCTGATGTCATCAAGCACCAATCAGAATCCAGGAAAGCATTCTACCATCTAAAACATGACACGTCTCCAAAGGTAAAAGGATTATAGTTGTCATAGACCCAAACCGACTCAAGAATTTATGGCTGTGTGAATTTGGTTCACACACCTGTCCAAGCCTCGTTTAATTTAAGGATATTCTTTGAGTTCTAAATGAATGGGAAGGCAGGAGAAATCTACACGACACCAGGCCATTTGAAAGTGTAATCATTACCTTCAGCTAAACGGGTATAAATAGGTAGCTTCCCTCCATAAAATGGAAGTTAGACATGCACACATTCAACAAAGAAAACAGCAAAGACACACTACTAGAAGGAGATTGCCTTAATATTCTCTAAGAACACCAAACATTTGTAATCCCATATTGTAGCTCGCAACCTCTTGTAAGGTTGTCTAGTGATCAGAGAGTAATCTTTATATAATCGAACACAATAGATGTAGGACTCGCTTTAAGCATCTGAACTACTATAAAAATTATCTTGTCAACTTTATATTTACGTCTTTGCATGCTACTGTACTCACAGTAGCTCACCTACTCATTATAATCAGCTCACATTTTGGTGTCAAAATCAAGCATCAACAATTTGGCACTAGAAGGAGGGCAAGATTTCACCTCTCTATCAAGTAAACTCAATTGACCCGTCAGTTCCTTTTTCAAAGTTCAACCATAAATTCTTATGGTTCCTAGTTTCGAAACTAAGTGTCCTAGCATAAACAACAACAACAATGAGGAAATTCCCTACAACCATGAGGAAACTCCTCCTGAAGGAGTTCCAACTCCCCAAACCATAGCAGGGAACATTCCCTTGACCTCTTACACGGATCCTGCCCTAATCTATTATTTGGGAAAACCCGATAACACTCTCCAAACAATGAAGTAGCAATCGAAACGTTTGGACAAAATAGTACTACCAAATTCAGACAGGGCGGTACCACCACNATTGCTATCTAAGTCATAAATTTATGTCAAAATTTGTGTAAAGTACAGAAAACCTAGGAGTTGTCTATGTTTTTTGAGAATCAAACCAAATCAAACAAAACATGGCTTGGTATCTTGATCGCAAATTAAGCCAAATAATTATAACCCCCAAAACCAAATCATACCAAAATGTAAATTTGTAATTCTGTTTGGTTTGATTTGGCAGTTTGAGGTTAGACCAAAGAAAATGTTATTATTTTTAAACATATAATCCATTGAAGCATACAAGTTAGTGTATTTAAGATTCTTTAGTACAAACACAATCCAAAGTTTTAGAAAAATTTTGTAATTTAAACATTGAAAGCCACAGTTACCCAAAAAACATATTAAATTGATGATTTATCAAACTACTAAGCAAAACAATGAGAAAGAATAAAACATGGATCGAGCCAATCAAATATCCAGTTAAAGTTCCATGTCCTTTCACCCAACTTCACTTTCCCAAACTCAAGAATACCCATTGCTGCTGTTGACAACAGCCAAAGTTAAGTGAGAGAAAAGAAAAAGGTATGTTAGACAGACGCTCACTGAATTAGTAAAACATTAAATAGGGAAAGATGTCATTGGAAGACGAAACCTTAAGATTTTTTTTTTTAATTTAATAAAGAAACAGTAGAAAAAGGCCATTCCGCATGATTGCAGGACTATGGCCTAGCTATTGTGTGATTCAAGCTGTCAACAAACATATAAAATATTATAAATAAAACTAAAAAAAATTATAAACTCAAAGACAAACTGACACTGTTATATTATGTTGCATTTCATGTTATATACTTTGCATAAGATGTACTGTAAATAAAATTTCATATAGCAGGAAATCCAGAGAACCGAACAGTTACCTTGACCAGGAGAGTTCAGTAAGCTATTCATCAAAATAGTATCATATCCAACAAATCTATTTATGAGAAGTTGTTGCCACCTGTATGTAAGAAAAAATTCAAGTACATTTTAGCTCAAAGCATTCACATGCATACCACTCGAAGCTTTAAAATGGAAACAAAATTTAGAGACTTATGGCAATTATTTTCCCACATTAACTTTTCAAAAGCTTTAACAACAAAATCTCTTGATTCAATAAAACAATTGAATATGAACTAAACTTGAAACCTTGAAATCAAATTGCCAGACCATTAGCATCATAATTTGGCATTGCCATAACTGTTTCTAGAGTAAAGCTAACAAGCCATTAATTTTAAACTGAAAATTTTCCTTCAATTAAAATTTAAGCTCTCAACTGCAACCTCTTTTCACTTTCTCCCCAAGACAATAACAGATTCTTCGATGATAAAATATGTAATGAATAATGTGCCAAAACTGTTATATGCATGATTGAATACAACACCAAAACACTTATACTCGGCAAAAAAGTTCAAAAGACCAGTGAAAATGATGCTGTAGACACAGATGAAATAACAGACTTAGTAGCATCATATATTTTCCAATATGGTTTTAAGTTATAAACTGTAATTCTCTGCTTAAATGACATATAGCAGGCACTTAAGTTTCTATATAATTTAAAACTAAGAATATCTAAATGCTAGAATAATAACTTAAGACTTAAAATGTCATACAACAGATATTTGTCAATTTCAAGATAAGCCAAACCATGGTATGTAGTTGCAATTAGCGAATAACCTGTTTCCAAAGCAGGAATGCCTAGCTGATATGCTAATATTAACAGTGCGTATGTTATGCTGAGACCTCGCTGATTCAGGTAGCAAGAAATATCCCTACAGAACAAGTTAATTCAGAAAACATTAGAAAACCTAAGATAAAATAAATAAATAAAAAAAAGAATTACCTTCTCCATTGTGTATAAATAAGTAGGTTCAAACACTTTGCTTCTATCTTCAAGCCACTGCACTGCAAGATGACAGATTTTATTAAAATATTAAATCTATTACACAACTCAGAGCAGCTGAAAAAGAGAGGATGTGATTCTACTAAATATATCACTCCTGCATATAAATCATATGATCTACAAATCCAACCAGTATTTTGTAATAACCATTTAACATTTTTACTCAGAAAGGTAAGCATAGCCCACCCAGATTATCCTACATCCTAAATTGCGTAATATTGACAAAAAAATGAAGCAAACCCCCGTTTGCTAAACTTCTGCATTAATATCTTGGTTCCAACCCCTTACCAGTATATTATTAAAAAAACTTGGAAATCTAAAAAAATCATAAAGATGAAAAATATTAAACTCATTAGCCAGATTGCATTCCATAATTTGAAATTATAGCGTGTAAAAATAATTTAGTTTAAATGGCTTTTACCACAATAAGAGCAAGAAAATTTACTGAGTTCTAACTTTCTTTTGCATAGAGACAAAGATTCTCTGTAAAAAAAAAAGTACACAAAGTATACAAGAATGGACATAATGTCCATATAAAAGGACAAGCTGTCCCTAAACCCAAGGATTCATAGAACAACACAAAACGAAAGCACCTCCCCTATTCCAAAATCTTCAACACTGAAAATCAAAATTCCCTGATCAAATTTGCACAAAAATCTTCCCTAGCTAGATAACTGAAGCTTTCCAATCCTGTTAAATAATGAAATAAGAAACATCTTTGAATTTTTAAGTAATAGACACCCAAAGAGAAGCCCAGAATTTTACTTTATCACCCTCGGACCAAATCCCTTCTCCAATTGTATCCTCAAAAATTCTCCTATTTCTTTCTAACCAGATAACCCAATTCCGAAACAGACAAGCTTTTCTCCTGCCTCCCAATTAAATCAAGAGACCTAAAGAGTTAGGACTACAAACAAACAACTATAAGGGGGGAGGTGGGTGATAGTGAGTTACCTGCATATGCGTTTATCCTGTCCAAGTAAAGTATTTGCAACCACTTTGGAACATCAAGATTTAAATGAACCCCAGATATATTCTGTACTAGAAAATTCAAATTCAGCATAGAGAGAGATATTTCGTAATCATAATAAATAAATCAATTTATGATTCAAAACGATACATTAGAAACACATTTCTATAAATGAAGTAACTGAATCAGAAAAGCAGTTTCTGTTTGAGAGAGAGGCATAATCATGAGGAATATTAAACTAAATATCAATTGGTTGCATTTAAAACTTCAAAGGAAAATGAAAACAAACTTCAATATGGGCTATGTGGAAAAAAGAAACGGAAAAAAGGATAAAAATCAGAACTTATTTCACATACTCACTTCTCAATTCATTCTCGTATGTGTACGGTGAACAACATTATCAAATGGCACTAGCTAGTGTCAAGATGCTTAAAAACCAATTAGTAGTGCTATATGATTATGCCACACATATTGGTATACACTACACGGTAGGCAATAGTGCACAACATAGCATCCTCTATATAGTATATCATAGGTTAGCACAACTGCCCTTTGGTATTTTTGTGAATTTAATTTTTAAGAAAGAAGAAAGAGAGAGAGAGAGAAGGGCCCACAAGTGCTGAAATGTTCACAACTGGACCTGGCAAAACGGGTTGGGACCCGCGGGTCGACCCCATACCCTGGTAAATTATATAGGGTATGGGTCTGTATTATTAAACCCGTTTTTTAAGACCCGTACCCGGCCCTACCCGTTTTGTAAACGGGTAGACCAGGTACACCCACAGGTGCCCGTTTTTAATTTAAAGAAAAAAAGTTTTTCTCTTTCGTAGCATATGAGCAGACGCCTACAAGGCTACAACACCTTTTGTTTGCCTTCTCTCTCTCTCTCTCTCCAAACTTAACTTCTCTTCTATCCCATCAAACTTTTTGGCCTATCCCATCAAACTTTTTGGCAAGTAGAGTTGGCTAAATCTATTCACAAACTTCTCTTCTCTTGTTCATTCGTAGTTCGCCTCTTTCCTATCAAAATCATTCACAATCTCCATTCATTCCCCTTCCCTAACCCACTATTTTTTCTTCCCAAAGAGTTTTTCAACAACCCACTCTTCTTCTTTGCGACTAAGGGGCTATTGGTATAATAGATCCAATTGATGGCGTAAAAAAACCTTGAATTCACCCAGCCCTTCTCACTTCTGGTTCATCAAGATAGGTTGTAAAGCAGCACATTTCCATTTCTTCAAATTGTTTTCTCTTCGTGTTTCTCAAGATTTCGGAGTTTTTAAGAATTTTTCTTTTTTGGGTTTGTTTTGTGTGGTCGAGTTATGGGAAAGAATGAAAAACATTGTGTAATTTTGGAAACAAGTTTTCTTTTCTTTTTGTTTTTTCAAGGATTTGAAGATTTTGAGGTTGTTCTATTTTGGGTATTTGCTTTTGGGTTTGGGTTTGGTTTGAAGAATGGTGATAATGATGATGAGGTGGCAGCCATGGCCGCCTCTTGTGAGTTGTGACGAAGAAGTATGAGGTGAAAATGGTGGTATAGAGGATGGACGGGTGGGATTTGGCGCATGAGATTGCAAAGAAGGAAGAAAAAAGAACAAAGATTTGCTATTGAGATTCGTTGGAAGGGTCCTAAAGTACTTTGAGAAGAAGGGTCAAGAGGAACTTCACTAGAAACAGGTACTCGCGGTTCCACCCGTACCCGTGTAGGGTAGGGTACGGCCTAAAGTATTGAACCTGTTTAATTCGACCCGTTTAAGACCCGTACCTGTAAGACTCGTACCCGTTTAGACCCAGACAGTACCCGGCCCACCCGCCCATTTTGCCAAGTCTATTCACAACAGGAATCCAAATGCAAATGATGATAAAAAATTTTTATAACAGCAGAATCTTAATAATACAATTGTTTCAGTACTTGAGAATGTGAAAAATGGAGGTAAAAAAAAATGGCTAATGTGGGAAGCAAACTAAAAGAAGTTTTGTGAAATATTTATCAAGCATTAAAAAGAAATATTAATAATTTACTCACCCACAGCTTCTGGAAACTTCCTAATATTTGCATTGTGTGTCTCCAAAAGAAAGATAGACGCCTGTACCACTTTTTGCCAAAGTTAATGATTGCAGCTTTAATTGTCTCCTTGCCTGACAAAGGGAAATTACGTAGCTCTTCCTTATCAGTTTTAACAACTGCACCATCAGCCCTTGACCTAGAGCTTTGACTATTACCAAAGCTTTCTGCTTGATCACCAAGTTCACTATCAGTCTTCCAGAACTTCAATGCCAATTTGCCCTTCCGAGCATTGGAACCAATCCAATTCAACCAAAAATTTGAAGCTGAAAATGTCAATTCATCTTCATCCACATTGGCTACTTCTACTGTAGTGGTTGCAGTTTCCACACTAGGAAAATCAGTAACATTAGAATCAGACCCGTTTTGCAACCACAAGCCAGCACTGGTTATCTGCAGCAAAAGAAAAAGGTTTGTGTCTCAATCATGACACTTCAGGCCATTAAGAAACAAACTCAAGTTATCTGTAAAATACAACTAAATCTCAAAACTAGATACCTGGACCCTAAAAATAAAACAAATAAAACAGCACACTTCTAAATTACATGGAGGAATCAAGGAATTTTAGTGAAGCAAAGCTGAACCAGGAAAATGTCAAGTTGCACTGAATTAAGAATTGCTTGCCGAGCCACCCTTGGCTACAACCTTGAGTATGTATTCAATGTTCTATGTAATGCCTATGGTATTTGCTGTATACAATCTTGTGTTATAGTGCTTTACAGATCATATCATAAACTAAAAAATTATTAGTAAAAAATCAAATACCAATTAGACAATATCATCANGAATTAAGAATTGCTTGCCGAGCCACCCTTGGCTACAACCTTGAGTATGTATTCAATGTTCTATGTAATGCCTATGGTATTTGCTGTATACAATCTTGTGTTATAGTGCTTTACAGATCATATCATAAACTAAAAAATTATTAATAAAAAATCAAATACCAATTAGACAATATCATCAAGAACTGGGGTCTTCTCCTAATTTGATTTTACCTGAGTTTTTGAGGTGCTATTGACACATATCACTTACGATATTAAATGATTACAGTTTATTCACTCAAATTGTTTCCTTTCCAAACAAACTAAAAACACCATATTGGCTTGTTAATCCCCATATAATTCAAGATTGTCTTCTTGTTCTCCTTGTATATTTTCTACAAGTAGATAAATCACAAATGAAAAATAAAAATAGAAACATAGAAACCAACAAGGAATTTGGCAAAACTCCATCATTGTCACCTGACATGCCATCCCTTCAAACAATTGAATTTGTGAGTTTCTTCGTATCACAAAATTAGCAAATCAGTTTCTATCAAGCAGAGCATCTAGTCAAGTACCATCATTAGAAGTAGCCCAACAAAGATTTGAATTAATCCAAGTCATCTCCATGCAACTTTCTTTCTTTAGCAACATTTAGGAATCCTTGGCCAAGAGAGACAAAAGATAGTTGTCCCACACCTAAATACAACGTCATAGTTGATACTCCTAAATGCAATAATTGATTGCAAAAGCATTCTCAAGAACTTAAGGGCCACTCAAATACCGATAGATCGACCTAAAAGTAACTGACACTATATTTCGCCACAAAGGACATTACTCTAAATATCAGAAAAGAACATATTCTGGTAGCAGTACAAACATAGGTGGAAAACAGTGATAAACCCACTTCATGCACAAAGTTTCATTTTCAATTTAGTCATATCCGCACTATACACGAAGGTTTTACAAGATAATATGAAGCTGAACAATATGCAGCAATTTAGTAAATTTGCAAGCAAACAAACAAACTAAGCTGAAATTCAAAACAACAAGATCACACACATACCTTAATTTGAATAAGCTGGGCTTCGGTCGTCTCAATTCCAGAGAGTTCACTCGAACATCCAGGCTTTATATACAAAACAACCATACAGAAGTAAAAAAATTACCCATCATATCATTGAAAAAATCAAACAAACAACACAAACCCACCTCCGATTCGCATAAATTTACAGTTTGGGGCTTCTGGGTTGACATAAAAATTGAAGAAGTCGATACAAATTAGAACAATTAGAACCCAAAAATAGAAAGAGCTGAAACCTGTTGAACATAGTTGGCGTGCATAACAACAAGAACACAAAACAAAGTGATGGCAATGAAAAGATAGATGTATTCCAAAGCAGCTCTAACTTTAGGCGTCAACATCTGAGAGAACCTCTCTTGAACCCTTATGAATGTCTGCTCTGGATCCATTTTTGTACGTGCAGTGCACTGGACAAATCGTTGGAGAGATATCTCTGCTCTGCTCAGAGACAGGATCGTTTAGGATTAATTTTTTTTTTTTTTTTTTTTTTTCTGAACTCTCTATGGGATTATTTTCTTTATATTTGTTTGTTTGACCTTTGGGAGTGGTGGGAAAGTTCTCCCTGTTTGTTGAAATATTTAACACCCATTGGTTTTGCAAACTAGCAAGTTACCCTTTTCATCTTGTCACTATTTGATTTATAATGGACTCCAATTTTCCCTTATTTTTTAACAAAATATCGAAAATGTATTTTAAATTTTACACATTTTTCCCTAAGGATAAAACTTTAAAAATTTTAAAACTAAATTCATCCTGAAATTCATAAAACATATACCTGTCTTTTATTATTTTAGAATATAAACCTTCCAATCAATATAAATTCATAAAATTCAAAAACAAATCAAATCTCAAACTCAAAGAAATATTGCATATACAAAGATAATATAAAAAAGTGATGTGGTAAAAATGAATAAAAAAGTTAATATAAAAAATCAAATTCATAATTGTAGATAGATGATTTATCAGTTAAAGAAAATGATACATCCTTTATATGTTTTTTTTTTTTTAAAGATAATTATGTGTCGTAATACTCTTAAACCATGCTAATATCATAATTTTCGAACTAACATTACCAAATAATCGAATCTTTAATTCCTAAATTTAATCTTCAGCATATATTTTGAATAGAGCCTTTAAAATCAACAACCACTTTGTTAAGATGATTTTCAAGGACTTTTTGTTTTTTTTTTTTACATGTGGAAAAAAATATTTATACCCTTCTCTAGTTGTCCTTTAATTGTGTGAGAGGGCTAGAATATGAGAAAAAAATTTGTAAATGGAAATATTTTTGAATAATCAAGTGAGAGTTATATTAACTAATATTCCCAAATTGGAGGGTGATGATGTCAGTTTAAACAACTTGTGGGTGTTTCTATAATCATGAAACTTAGGGGTGTCGAGCAAAACCCATTCATATTGATGACTACTCCTATGTAGAGGATTCTCTCATTGAGACTTTATCCAAATAATTTTTATTATAAAATTTACATCTATTGTGTTATGGATTTGACATTCTATTGTATCTTCATCATTCAATCGGTCTTCTATATCAATTTCTTTTCTTTTCATCCTTTTTAGTTTTCATGGTTAACCATATGTGATCATTTACTAAAATTTGAATGTATGCTCATGTAAATTGGAGTAGGACATGTCTAAAAAGGGCTTATGTGTTAGGAACTCGATCCTGGGATGATTGGGGAGATATCCGAAAAGGGTACGTTAAGTAGAATTAGACAATTAAAATATCTTGTAATAAGGATATCGTTTAGAATAAGAATTATAATTACTCTATTATGCAATTAGAAAAGGAATTAAAAATCCTTTTAGGACTCTTTTGGAGTCAACTGTAAGGCTATATAATAGTCTAAATCTAGATCGTGGTTATGAATGAATAATTTTGTGAATTAATCTCTTTATCTCTTGTTCTTGGAGGTCTCTATTCCTCATACAAACATATCATATACCAAGCCCTATCATTATGTCTTATGGTTTGATTATAATTTTGATACTTTTACTTAAGGGTCTGCTTAAGAGTTTTATGATAGCGGTTATGAGAATAAACCACCGTAGCGGTTATGAGAATAAACCACCGTAGCGGTTTTGAGGGTAAACCATCGTAGCGGTTTTGAGGGGTTTTTAGTAGTGGTTATTAAAACACCCAACCTATGCTTGGAAGTTCATTTTCCAGCGATTCTGATAGTTTAAAATGATAAATTTATATATATGCTCATAAAAATACCCCAACTCTAACCAGTACTTGGGAGTTTTGTTTTTTCAATTATAAGGTAAGAGTTCTTTACTTGTTTTCTATTTATTAGTATTTTATAACTTCAAATGTGATAAAGTCTCATGATCCTTCTTCGCCATTCTTTGCAGAACTTTGAATGATTGAAAAATGGTAGCTCCACTTCTCCAAAAAAGCATCTAGAAATGAGATTTTAATAATTTTTTTTTTTTTTTTTATGATTGCTTAAAATTATTTTATATTTAATATGGTTGAAGACGCGCATAATTTTTTTTTTTTTTTGGATATAATTATGATATTTTTATAGTGGATAGGGTATTTGTGAAATAAAATTTTAAAACCAACCAAAACACCCAGATTTGGGGTGTTTTATAAACCCCTCAAAAATACATTACACTAGTTCTAGGCGGTTTTTAAGCCAGTCAAAACCAGTGTATAAAAAATTTGGCAAGTAATGGTTTTAGAACACATCAAAACCAATTTAATTAAAAACACCTCAAAACCAGTGGAAAAAAAACTCCCAAGCAAACCTTAATGATTAACGTGTCTTTAATAGAGTGTGTTATGCCTAAAAAAAGGGCTGACATATGCTGATGTCATCAAGCACCAATCAAAATCCAGGAAAGCATTCTACCATCTAAAACATGACACGTCTCCAAAGGTAAAATGATTATAGTTGTCAGAGACCCAAACCCACTCAAGAATTTATGGCTGAGTGAATTTGGTTCGCACACCTATCCAAGACCCATTTAATTTAAGGATATTCTTTGAGTTCTAAATGAATGGGAAGGCAGGAGGAATCTACACGACACCAGGCCATTTGAAAGTGTAATCATTACCTTCAGCTAAACGGGTATAAATAGGTAGCTCCCCTCCATAAAATGGAAGTTAGACATTCACACATTCAACAAAGAAAACAGCAAAGACACACTACTAGAAGGAGACTGCCTTAATATTCTCTAAGAACACCAAGCATTTGTAATCCCATATCGTAGCTCGCAACCACTTGTAAGGTTGTCTAGTGATCAGAGAGTAATCTTTATATAATCGAACACAATAGATGTAGGATTCGCTTTAAGCATCTGAACTACTATAAAAATTATCTTGTCAACTTTATATTTACGTCTTTGCATGCTACTGTACTCACAGTAGCTCACCCACTCATTATAATCAACTTAGATTTTGGTGTCAAAATCAAGCATCAACAATTTGGCACTAGAAAGAGGGCAAGATTTCACATCAGCTCTCTATCAAGTAAACTCAATTGACCCCGTCAGTTCCTTTTTCAAAGTTCAACCACAAATTCTTATGGTTCCTAGTTTCGAAACTAAGTGTCCTAGCACAAACAACAACAACAATGAGGAAATTCCCTACAACCATGAGGAAACTCCTCCCGAAGGAGTTCCAACTCCCCAAACCATAGCAGGGAACATTCCCTTGACCTCTTACACGGATCCTGCCCTAATCTATTATTTGGGAAAACCCGATAACACTCTCCAAACAATGAAGTAGCAATCGAAACGTTTGGACAAAATAGTACTACCAAATTCAGACAGGGCGGTACCACTACCAAAGACGTCTACAGGTTGCGTAAAAGCGTTAAAACAACACATCCTCATGTCACGCACACTACAGCATAAAAGGGTAAACGCGTCGTCGATCAAGGGCCAAAGGGCTCAAAAGGGCATTCAAATATTGCCCACGAGCAGAGAAATAAAACTCTTGTTCTACAACTTGGCAGTACTTCACGTCAAGAGCAGTCCCACCACACATCGCATAGGCACACCCATGAAAGTGCTAGGCATGGAGATTCCCACCATCATCGACATAATGGTTCTGACCATTGCCTAGAAGTAAATACCCACCATCAGCGCATTCTCTCTAACCATCGTAGATATAGGAAAAACTCCCCAGCCACTTATCCCATTCACAGGGTTCCAGCCCACAAGTGTCAAGGCATGCTGAAGGCTTTGGCCAAAGCATTAGAAGTACCTATTTGCGATCTTTCAAAACCACAATCGTAGGGCATGCACCTAGATTGCAGAAAGTGATCCCCCAAGAGCTCCACTTCCTCAGCTAGAGGATTTTATGACAAGCTTTAGATCAGATTTGAGCTTAACAAAATGAGTAGGGAGTGATCGCTGAGGCATCTCCCTTTTTTCTAGAGGTTTTAACAGCATCTCTCCTGCCTAAATTCAGAATGCTAAACATGAAGGCATTTGACGAGAATACTAACCTTCAGGATTATTAGAGTAGGTGCCCTAGAGTCAATCAATTATTATAAAATTGACTCTGTAATAAATGTTTATTTATCAATAAAAGGTATATTCTTCTATATCGTGTATGTAATGATATATGTCCTTAGGATGGTGGAACCGTGATGAGGGTATCAAGTGTTTCAAATCTTGATAGTAAGAACCATATGATCACATATGGTGGCCATTCTAGAAACGTTCGTAGCCCCAGTATTAGTTTGACCAAGGACATAGATAATATGGTAAGACTATCATAGTGTTGAATGATCCTATCGAAAGGCAGTGACTAATAATCCGTGGATTATACTATTTTAATTAGACTTTTTAGTCGGATTTAGAATACTTTTTAGTTTATTTTGACCTAAATTGCTACTTAATTCTTTATATTTTGTGTTTCAGGCTAAAATGGACATTTAATGCAAATAAGGAGCGAATTGGAGTTTTTGGATTCAGAAGTGAGCGAATCTCAGAAGTTGGGAAAGTTCTGAAGCAGAGTGGATGCACTATGAAGCTTGTTTCCATGAGAAGAGTGTTGAAGATCGAAGAATCAAGCAAAGAAGCAAGCAGAGGGCAATTCTGTAAATTCAGAATTCCACATGAAGGTTCGCCGCGGTGAAAAGAGTTGCGCATGAGGGACTTATTCAAGTCTTCGTCTGGGAATTTCAAAAACACACAGTTTCATTTAGGCATTTGTTTTTAGGTTTTTGGCTGAGTATAAAAGAGGAACTTAGTCATTTTTGTAGGGAGTTCGTTTTTTCTTAGAGAAAACAACTTTTTACATTTTCTTAGATTAGTTTTGGGCAAACTTTGATTGCAAAGGGTGAAGATTCGAGATTAAACCAGTGGATTCATCATTTGGGGAGATTTCTTGTCTTTTCTCTTATTTTCATTATGTTGAACTTTGGATTTTTCATTTCTTTTATTGGTATTGTTGATTTAGTCATGAACTAACCTATTTTGGGTTAGGGTTTTGATGTAGTTCGGA